TAGAGAGATACTTTAGATTAAAATACTTCTTCATAAATATAGGAGAGATCAGGGTATTGTGACGAAGATAAAGAAGTCAAAGTCTTATTATATCAAAAATATCATAATTATGCCTACTACACATTTTGTTGGTAACATTTGTCTATATGCATAATAACTTTCGATATAATATGACTTCGTCACAATACCCATCCTTTCGCCAAAACACCCCGAACTCCCTTAATAAAATATGCCTTCTAATTGCATATAACATGCGGTTCATTGAAAGATTCAAAAGTGTAACTTTATTAAATATAGATAACCAATTGTAATATTTTTTAAACGAAAATTTTTTGAAACCTTATCCCAGAATTGGGAAACATGTTAAACATTTAATAAAGTAAGTGGACACTCTTGGAATTGGACGCAAACACAAATCATATAGATTAAAGCATGCATGTGGTACATTTAAAGAGATCTCAAAGATTACAAATTATTGCAGCAATATTTTTTAAACTATGTATTTTTTAAGATCTTATTCATTTGTCAGTTTCTAATAATCAATTTAGAAATTACAAATAAAATTCCAAAATCATGAATATCATTTTTTGAGTATTTTGGCGAATGATTATATTATATTATACAGTCTAAAAGAATACCGTCGGGCCAGAAAATTCGGTTCTTATACTAATTAATTGGTTCTCAAAATCCTGTTCTTATAGAGAGATGTTACTGCATATAGAGAAATTATACGGGCATTTTACAATTTTTTGTTATACAATATATCCGGATACAAAACAAATGTATTGTATCATCATTCAATAATATACTTGTATTTAATACAGCTCTCTATAAAAATTATTTTAATAACTTTTTTTTGTTTCCAATTATTTTCTGATATACAAATGCATATAAATAAATTTGATCAAACTTAGAAATTTGCTGCAAAATTACGAGGCTTTGTACTCCTTTTTTGTTTGATATTGTAATTTATATTTTTTTTATATTGCAATAAAATGCCATGAATTATTCTGGGGACGATTTTTATGTTTATACAAATATTCCTAACAAGTAAATATATAAATTCATATTAACTGTATTGTTTGAAGGATGATTTGGAGTTATCTTTCGTAACGTTAAAGTATGAATTAAAGAGTTGTGTACTGTTTATGGCTTCAAAACAATGAATTTATTCCTTTCTAATATATATGTTCTTACTAACAATTTAGAATAAAAGGAAAAATTAAATCATGTGTAGAGACATTACGTATGCTGCATGTTCATTGTATGCAACTAGCTCGAATGAAGCAAATATACATGTAATACGTAATTTTGAATATACATATATACTACAATATACATCGATTACAATGCACTGTGCATACATGTATAACATACTTGTAAACCAATATACATGTACATGTACATATACAGTTATTTTAGAGGAATTTATATAAACTTAGTATTAAAAGTAAATATTCTATTCATATAAAAATAAGTAACACCGTGAAGAGTAATAAATTTAGGTCTTTATAATTTGCAAGGTATTTCAAATAGAAGTTTTTTTATATTATGTCTACTTTTAAACTGTAAATTTTTAGGTGCTGAAAAGATACGGCTGATCGGCATATCGATCTAGGCGCTCGGTAATTTGTTATTAATTATTTATGCGTAGGAAATCAGATAAACCAAATTTCCAAAGAAGTTAAACAAGCGTTTTATTTTCTTGTGAATAATACCATCTTTTTGAAGAGCAAGACATGTATTATGTAGTGACTACTTACGGAATAGTGCGGTAAATATTACAAAAAAACGAATCAAATGTATCTATAATGCGCATGTTCTTCATTTACTATGTAATATGTTTATATCATTAACCTAGCTATCTCATTAAAGGTCCCGGGTGCTTTTTTATGAAGGTTTTTCAAGTAAAACTTAAAATTTGTAAAAGGAAGCGTTTTTGATTATGGTAAGCTCATATCAACAGAATGGAGAGCTGTGGTATACTAACCCGCCCTTATTGCTATTTAAAACAAAATTAAAAATAAACGTCTTGTAAATCAAAAAAAATACTTCAAATATAAATAGAAGGCAAAACGGCAACTAATATCGGCAAGCTAACTATTTTAATATTCATTTGACATAGAACTTCCGCTCTTTTACTATAGATTATATAGAAACATTTAATTTAATCAATAAAGAATAATTAGATATTAAGACAAACATAAATTTCTTCAATATGACGTCGTCGCTTCGCCAAATTCAACAACAATTAACCAACGTTGAAGCAACGGAAAATATTCCACCAAATTCATCTTCTGATCTAAATAATAATAATAACAACACTGATAATAAAGAAATTCGACAAGGCAGACGCTCGCCAAGCATAGATACAAGAGCGTCAAGAGTCGGTGTAACTAATTTTATTAATGTAATTAAAAATTTACATCCTGGTGAATCGAGAAATTATTTTCCGGTTACTCAAGAAATGCTTCAAGAATATATTGATTCAAAAAGAAAAGCATTAATAAAAGCGGGCTCACTTGAACAATATCTCCAACACATACAAGCTTATAATATCGCATTAGGATTTGGTTGGCAAGGTCAAATATTTGGTCCTATAATTAAGAAAGCTTTGGACGAACTAAGAGCTCATGAAGAGGAAATTCGGAAAAATTTAATACTTCGTCGCCAAAATCATCAAGAAGTCACATTTACACATATTAATTCTATGGATTATATGAGAGTTGTATCTGGTACCTCTTCCAGTAGCGCAACTGCTCCGACTACTAACAGCTCGACACCTGCTGCAGATGTTATAAATATGCTAGTAGGAATGGATGTTGATAGTAGCAATAATAAGAATAAGATTAAAAATGACAATAATAACAATAATGCAGCTAGACAAATGTTCTATAATAATGAATTTCATATTCAAAATCAATTATATTCTCATAATGGTAAGGCATTATCTTATGTAAAAACTTATTATAATGGTTCTAATTTCTAACTAAATAAAAATTTAGATCAATCAAAAATGATTGCACTCGTTTGTTTCGACGCAACATCCATTCCGCACATAATTATGGGTCAACAAGTTAATTTGTCGCTTAACAATTTAAATTATACCGATTCATTACAGAATTTACGTCAACTCTATGCTAATATTGCATCATTAAACTTGCCTTCTCAATGGGAACCCGTTGATATATCACATCTCCATTATCGAATTGGCAATTGGAATTTCGGGTTAAGCGATGAATCAGCATTCGTTCGTTTCTGGAAAGTATTTATCAATGAACAAGAAAAACAAGTTCAATTAGTGGTATATAAAAAACCAAGAAGATTACATAACACAGGTATCTAATTTGATCATAAATACCGTAAATCGCGATCTATAGTAAAAATTTAAACCTCAATTTTAGCCTCAAAGCTAGTATTTATTTGTGAACAAATATTTGGTTCTATTAAAAAAAATCGGATTAAATTGAGGTTTAAATTTTTAGTTTTTTTTACAACCTAGGGTAATATAGACCACAATTTATGGCAGTCCATTTTGCACGTGTACATTAATTTGCTGGCCAGTGAAATCGCATTATGTACCTCACACCATAAGGATTTTAGGGAGGGTCTTCTCAGGTTCTAAAAATAAAACATATTGCGTCTTAAACAAGTTTATTTGACGCGAAAAACTTAAAAAATGAGTTCCAATGAGGCGATTTAATTGGCTGAGCAAAATTGACGAACACGAGGTTAATTTTCCGTTCCTATTTAAACGCTAATATACCTTAGAAACATTGTACCCAGCTAGTGTATCTTCTTCACCACGAACAATCCACGCTTTTGACGAACCAACTTCTGGTGAAAATAAAGGAACAATATTAAAGTCAGTGACGATAAGATCCAAGTTAAAAGTATACAAGCAAAAAATTGCTATCGGCAAGAACACAACCTTCGAATCATTAATTGCTTTTGCCACTAATAAAGAGACACCACCAGCGGGAAAACAATTTGTGATTCGTTCCATTGATGAAACATTCGAGTATATACCTGAAAATTTGGTAAAAGAAGTGATAACGGGGGTGGAACATGCCGACCTTCTTGTTACGTTGGAAAATGTTGGTCATATTGATTTTGAACATTTTTGACTGCTTTAATTCTTATAGCGATTTTCTAGATATAAGAATTTCTTGTTTGGTGTTTATTAATAACACCACATTTGTATCCTTTTCCTACCACACTAAGTATTTTTATGCTCCAAAAGAAAAAAAGGAGATCAATACCAGCCTCTTTTTTCAAAAATTTTCAATTGATTTTATATGGTTTAAGTTATATTAATTAGCTAAATTAGATAAGCTCACAACAATAAGGTTAATTTCATGCATTTAGATGTTCGATTTTTATGAGGTGAGTTTATTAAATAACGAACATATCTTTCAAAACATACCACATTTCATAAATTCCTTGAAATATTATTCTGCCCAGCATTATTATAAATCTGGTCATTTTGACTTCAAACTATAAGCCCAGGGCTTTGATGGTACAGTTTTATACAGTAGGGGACATAAGAAACTGAACTTCGATAACTTTCCGAGTACATGTAAAAGAACAACACAAATACTGATCATCTATGCCTTTATAGGTGATAAACTTATATATCGGATGCTCATCAAATTTCTACGCCGCATCGGCACTTATGATGCAATATGTGAACGATTCATTTTTTGTTGAAATCAAAAAATTGATCGATCAGTTGAGACGAATCGAATGGGTAATATTTTTTTTCGAAACTGATCACTGGAAGTCAAGATATGTGTCATAAGTGGCTGATTATATTTGAGGCGTAGGAGTTTTGCGACATAAATGATTAACGTTAGCGTTGTTCCTTGGGCTCAGAAAATTTTAGTATATTACGCATGATATGGAAAGTTATGGGGTAGTTACTTCTGACGAGAACTGTATATTCCGCCCAGTGTTTGACACGTACTTGAATTTAACTATTAAACTCAAGTAATTAGATGTTATTCTCGAATATATTCGACGAGTTCTAAAGAAATCAAAAACAAATAGTCAACAAATTCTTTGTAAGAATGAAAATTAATTTTCATTTGCTGAGTTGAAAAATTCAAAACTGCACTTACTTCCAATCTTTTAACAATAAAAAAGACATTCTACACTCACCTTTTAGATAAAGTAGAAAATAATTTTGAAAGGAGCTGTTGCTACTTAGCCATAATTTATTCTTAACTAAAGCTCCGTTTGGGTCGGGTTTGAGAACAGTCAGACAGAACTGATAATATTTGGGTTGGGATAATTAATGAAATTGACAATTGCAACATCTATATTCGATAATACAAGATTCCGGATAAAGTTTTGGCGTTGCCAAGCAGGTCTGTTTTCTGGAATAGTATCTCAACATAATAAATGATAATCGTTATACATATGACGTGGCACAAATAGACGCAAATAAACCTAACAACGCGCAATGCATGACACAACCAGGCAAACCGGACAATAAGAACGATTATATCGGATTTGTCATGTAATGCAAAAAAAATAAAAAATGAAAGAAATTTACGGCGTACTTCCTTATAAGTCCAGAGATGTTAATACGAAATTGTAGGTACATGTATTAATCAAAAAATTATCGATCGACGCGAACCGGCCGGATTATACCATTTCGGATCTGATTTAAACCCGGAACGAACCGAAACCGAACCGATTTTTTTTCAGATTGAAAATAACGAAGTGACGGATTTAGTTCGGGTCACGGATTAATCCGAACCGAAAGTAATAAATTTCTTGTATCAATTAATGAGGAATTGTTTAAAAACGTGAATATATATATATATATACAGTCCCGGACAAAAATAATGGCGGTGAACGTTTTCTCCATTTTTACTATATTTTACTATAATTTCTTATAAAAATTATTAAAATAAAGCCTTTTTTAACTGGTATTTATTAAATAAATATGCAATAAAATTTTTTTTAAACTTACAAATATATTCTTTATATCTTAAAATATATTTTTACAAAAATATTTTCAAAATTACTTATTAAAAATATTTTTAAATAATTTCTTTTTCAAAGTTATTTTGTGTAGATACCTAATCCGACACATTTGACGCAAAATTCCGCAAAATTTTATTAATCTAACATACCTTGCGCTATTAGAGAAACTTGTTCGTAATATCCTAAAGAATATATCTACGAACTTTCATGAGTTTTGGATACTTCATTATTAAAATATAGACAAAAACGTTACGCGCCACTACTTTCGCCGGGGACTGTATATATTATTTAGAATATCAAGAATTATTTTATAATATTACAAAGCATATCAATATAATATATTTTGCGAAATTTGATTTCAAAAATTCTTAATTCATTAATATTTAATAAATATACAAGTAAAATGCAATAAAAACGAGAGTTTACTATGTTTTATTAAAAATTAGTTTTTTTTGATTGAAAGTGTATTTATATACATATTGAAAAATAATTCTAACCTATTAATATTAAATTTTATAAATAACAAACTATATAAAATTATTATATTAACAAAAGTAAATCAAATATGAAAATTATAACCTATTTTTTGAAATTATATATTTGTATATTATAATTATTAAAATGATATAATACTTATATTTTTTATCATATACAAATATTTTTGATAAATATTTTGTTTTTAGCAGAGTTCTTTAACATTTTCTAATTGTAATTAATAAAAAATATATTATTACCTTTAAAACTTTCAATATATAAAAAGATTAATTATAATTTAACTCAAAATTTATTATAATTATTAATAATGAAATAAGTTGATATATAAAAAAAATTCTTGATTTTAATAATATAAATTTAAAGTTTATATACAGTAATAGTCAAAAGTAATACATCAAGAGCTAAATTTATTGATAAAATATAATGAAAATTGAAATTTTCTCTTTATAAATTTTTAATTTTATTAAGAAACAGTTTTTATTTTATATCAAAATAAAGTTTATTAGTTATAGTTTAACATATATTTTTTTCAGATTTTTAAATTTTTCCTGAAAGAGTTGCTCTAATGCTTTAATTATAAAATTAGTACAAAAATTTTTGCTAATTAAAAATAAAATTTAATTAATAAAAATTTTTGTGCTAACTTTACAATTAGAATAATTCTTTTAGAAAAAATCTAAAAAATCTGAAAAAAATATATATTAAACTATAACTAATAAATTTTATTTTGATATAAAAATAAAATAAAATTATAAATTTTAATATAGCAAGAAAATTTTAATTTTCATTATATTTTATTAATAAATTTAGCATCTAATATATACTTTTAGCTATTACTATAACTAAATTATAAAATTTAAAATAACTTTATATAATAAGTACCAAATGCTAAATTTATTAATAAAAATTTATAATTTTATTAATAATTATTTTTATTTTTGTATAAAGTTTATATCTATAACTTAATATATTTTTTCAAATTTTTTGAAAGAATTATTCTAATTATAAAGTTAATACAAAAATTTTTATTAATTAAAAATAAAATTAAATTAATAAAAATTTTTATATTTACTTTATAATTAGAATAAATCTTTTAAAAAAAATCTAAAAAAATATATGCTAAATTATAAATTATAATTATAACAATTTTAATTAGGTTATTTTTCTTTAGCTTATATTTTTATTTTGTGCTATTTATATTACAGATTAGCTTTATATTATATTTTCAATTTCATGCTGGATATACAGATGATTATTATATATTTAATATATTATATTTAGCATATTATCATGTAAATAATTATTACATATACCTATATTATTAATTTTGATTATTAATATTTTTAATTAAATATTTCTTTTAATAATTCTTTATATTTTTACTTATTCTCTCTTATTATTATTTATAATTATTTATTACATTATTATTTATTAAATTATGATTAGTTACTCTCTGGAGATATAAATTAAGTTAATTAATTCTGTTTAATTCATATATATTTTAAAATAAATTTATTATTAATTTATTTACTTTTTCTTTTATTATAAATAAAATCTTCCTGTTCTATAATTTTCTATTAGATTTGAATACTTTTAAATAATAAAAATAATCATAAGTTATAAAATTAAAACTATTTATATCACATTTTATCTTGTTTATAACTATTAATAAAATAATTTTATAATTTGATAGTAGCAAATATGATTATTACAAAGATCACCCTTTAATATTTTATATTTTATATATCACATACTATATATTTACATATATATATTTTAATTAAAAAATAATATTTATCAAGATGAATTCAGAATAATTCATATAATTTATGCAGAGTATAACTGAATTTATCAAGATAATAAAAGAAGAAGATTCTTCTGATTTCAAACTCATATATTATCTTTCAGTTAAAATTCCAATATACTCAGAAGAGTTAAATAAAAATATACTTATCTGAATTATATAAGTTAAAATCATATTCCAAATTCAAGAAATTATAGGTAAAAAGATTCAAATCCAGTATGTTATTATCTTCTTAACTAATACAACTTTATATTAGTATCTTAATAAAGTTAAAATAGATGATAATATCTCATCTTTTGAAAATTGACAAGTCTTTATCACAACTCTTAGAAATATATTCTAATTATTTTATTATTAATAATATTTTTGCAGATAATTATATCTCTTTCATTAAATTGACTTAGTATAAAATTATAGTATTAAATTCAGAAATATAGTTAATTAAATAATAGGTATAGATAATTTAGATCAAGTCATATATTTTATAAAAGATCTTAAATCTATTATTAAAATAAAAGTTAGTTATTAAGCTTCAGAAATATTAAAAATACTTAGAAACTAGTTATTTACTTTGATATAATTATATATGAACAAGAAAAATTCTTAGGAATGTCAAGTAAATATAATAATAATCATTATTCTCAGAATTAAAATAAAAGTTATCAGACTAATATTCTATATTTATAGAATTAAATTAAGTAAAAAGCTATTATAATAACAGAAAGAATAATAATAATCAAAAAAATAATAAATCAAAAGATATATATTATAATTATAACAAATCAAATCACTTTACAAAGAATTATTATTCAAAATCAAAGATCAAAATTATAAATATTAAAGATAAATAAGAAGAATCTTTATAATCTTATAAAGAAGTAAAGTTTACTTATTTAAAAGATAATAGAAAAAGATTATTAAAATTTAATAATTAAGTAAATGACAAGCCAATATAAATATTATTAGATAGTAATATATCTAGAAATTTTATAGATAAGAAGTTTGTATAGAAGAATAAAATATAATTACAGAAGATAATATTAATAATTATTAAACTTGCAAATGATAAAAAGATAATTATCATTATTATAATAAAGATTAATAAACTCAAGTTAGATATCTATAGAATATATAAGATAAGTGTATAAATTTTAAAATTATAGAGATATGATCTTATTCTAAATAAATCTTGATTATTTTATGCCAATTCAATTATAAATTAGAGAAATAATATTATAATCTTTATTTATAGATCAAAAATAATAAAAGTTCAAGCTGATAATAAAATAAAATCAGACTCTAGCTGTAATTTAATCTATATCTTAAGATAATAAATCATAAATTTATTAGTAAATACAGAACTTTTCATTATATATCTTAATAATATTAAAAATAAGAAAAAAGCAAAAGAAAAGTTACTTTCATTAAAAGTATTAGAAATTAAAAAAAAGTATTATTACCATTTTAAGATTATACATATGTAATTATTTTAAAATAGTAATAGTAATTGTATTCATGACAATTATTTACTTTTATAACTTTAAGAGATTATATGACTAATTATTCTTTTAATAAGATGATATATGTGAGATTTACTTCTGACAAAATATAATTATCTTCTTAATAAGATAATTTATATATATTTTACTTCTAGTAAAATTTGATTATCTTCTCAATAAGATAATTTACGTAAGTTTATTTTTAATTAAAATACTCTCTCAATAGAACAAGAAGAAAATAAGATAAGATATAAGATAAAATA